TTCAAGATACTTAAAGTCCATACTACACCAAATATTGCTGCAAGTTCCATCAGGTGTTGCTCAGAAAGATGATTTCTGGGGTCCAGTTCGAAAATCAATACATGGTTAACACCTATAAAACGATACGAGTTTGTGAACATTTTTGTTTTCATTTAGGGCGTGGTGTGGTCACAAAAAATTGCTTACCTGATGATCTCCAACCATATACATTGACACCTATGAGAAATAGGAACTCTATGAATAGTAGAGGGCCTCTGTATAACCTGAAGGCAACTTTCAAATTTTCTGTGGATCCTTCATGGAATATGGCTGTAACAGCAATGTCAGTTATGCACTATCTGAAGATTGTATCTTCCATAAAAAGCATAGTTGTTGTACGACCTTGATAAAGATAAAGGATCCTTCCCTTCAAATCACGTGAGATCAAATAAGCCGTCATTTGTTATGCGACTATAAAGCTGAGCAAGACGGTAAACGCTTTAGGCCGCGGCGCACAGTGTGAAAACCTTGAATCGCGTACTTTCTGTTTTCTCGAATAACAAACTGTACGGTACTAACGTACTTTGACATAAAGGCAAAGGTCCTGTCCTAATCAAGTGATATACAATGTTAAAGATAGTGTATAAAGCAAAAACAAAATTATGGCTTACCAGATAAAACAACAGCTATAAGTAGTACAATAAAAGATCCAGAGAAAAGTCCGACTTTAAAAGTAGTCCAAGGGGACTGTTGCTCTCCTAATGGCGGAACTCTAAGTCTTTTCATCGCTTTAGGCCTATCACCACCTTCCAGTTCATTAGTCACAGCATCTTCAGTGTCTTTGATTAGCTTATCGATGTCTTTATTTGTGAAAAAGTGCGATGTTTCCACGTGCTCTTCCCTCCATTTTGCTCCAAAATTTGAATTCAGCAACTACAAAGATAGAATTAGCAAAAAATCGGTTGAAGATATCAAGTAGACTGACTTGGCGCTTCTCACTTCAAAGTAATTCAGATAAAAAAATGATAATTATTACAGTTCCATATAAACTTTGGTATGACTGAAGAGACCTACAACCTGAAAAACATTCGAAAATGCCGTGCAGTAGGTTGCCCCTGCACTTCCACGCAACGCCGTCGTCAGTTCATGATTGGATTATGGTCATCACAAGTAAGAATCTGAGAAAAAAAATGCGCTACGAACATGTATAACAGAGAAATTAAACGGATCAAGTCAATCAAACAGGCGCATACAATTAATCCATAGACATTATTTCCCTGCACCATTCATCTGGCAACGTCGCCTTTCCCCGTTACCTGACCGCATGACGAGTCAGTAATTCCAGGACAGTTATCAACACCGTCACGCCCGTCTTTGAAACGACATAGCAGAAGCAGGGATGCGTATCGAAGTTTTAAGGGTAAATGTAATGGTGAAATCTATTATGTGTGAAATATATTTAATAGGTGCGTAGAATTGCCAAAGCTGGAAGCGTGTAAATATGCCAACATAAAAAATTGAGATATACCCTCCACCACCCAATTTTTAACCTTTACAATGTTTATTTTAATTTTTCCGTTTTTCGGTTCGTAGCTCCAATTGCCACTGGACCGATCTTCAAAAACTACAAAGCCTTTTTGTCCTTGGTACAGTAGTAAGCTTGAGTAAAAATTTCATTCAAATCCGAGCGGCACTTTCCAACTTATAGACGGGCCCAAGGATTAGCCGACAGACTGACCGACGGAAATGAATGAGTTGGTTTTTCGTGATTTGAATGTCATATAATATCCAAAAAACATCTCATTAACGAGATTTTTTACAATACTTAATTTTTTGTCAGTATGCGCGGGAAGTAACAATGAGGTTCCTGAAATATCATTTTCAAGTAATTTCGAGTTTATCACGGCTAAAACTGATTAGAATAAGCCGTTTGGAGCCAAAAGATTTAACTTTATCTTTTATTGGGACGTTGAAGGAGAAAGTTGTTTCAACCAAGTCAAATTTTGGTATTATCACCAGAGTCGCGTACGACAAGGTTAGGCTGAGGAGTTGATTTGTCTTATTTCAGTGTTATTTTTGCCACAGAAAGTGAACTCAGTGCGTTATTGTCCCAAAATTGACAAGAAGAGACTACAACCTCGGCATGGGGATTCGATCCCTAACTTCTGGGGCTGAAAGAGGGGACATTTCAACTATGCCCAAAAGAGGGAGCATCAGGATCGAAGTTTGTTGGTAATATACACTTAAATCGGTAGCAAGTATTGACTATTAGAATATTTTCTCACCTTATCATGTTTCTTGAGAATCTTCCTAAAGCCAGTATAATTCAACGTCTGGTAATTCTGCAGCAAAATAAGGCTGAGATAGAACTCACTGAATGCCAACTTCAATTCTTGCAACTTCCTCGATGGAATCTTCTTTTCGCCAACAGCGTGCTTCTTTTGTGTACCCATGTTGTTCATCAACGAATCTTTGAGTTCGCTGTATAAGTTCGCGAACTTTCTGTGCGCCTCTGCTAACTTTTCAGCGTAAAATGTGTTGATCTTTTTTAGTTCTTTGTCGCAGTATTGGAAAAACTGCTCGTCGAAGTTGGCGAAGTGACGTTGCAGGATCTCCGGCTCCACACTTTCTGCTGAAGGCGCCTCTTCCACAGCCATATAAAGCATAGCTTTCATTTCCTGGAATGATTGTTGCCATTATATACAGGATGTTTTAAAGTCGGGCATGTCGTTTGCACAGGGTATAGTTTCTATAAAACTAAGCAAACTTTTCTTGTACCACATAGAGGTCTGTAAGGTTAAGTGATGAGGGTGGCAATGTAGCGTTCGATCTGCCAACACTGGACGCCCCGGACTTGGCGGGGAGATAGGGGAACATGTAATCCTCCTCCAGTAGAAGTTTGAACTCGCTCGAGCATTTGGTTGTCCATAGCAATTTTTTTTGTTAAATAGTTTTTCCTATTGTGTTCTAAAAATGAAAGGATTCTCAGGTTTTTTCAGTGGTTTTAAGGCATTTTCAGAAGGGAGTGAGTTGATTGACAATGAGCCACCACTGTATTCAGATGATTTTCTTATACATATCCATCACAAGCAACATAGGTTTGCTTATCTCATACAAAGGCTGTTTGTATAACAACATCAAGGGGGCAAAGTAGAAGGCCAGGACAGCCCAAAATAAAATGAGGAAAAAGGAACCAGTTTTCCTGAGTTTATTTGCAATATTGAGACATATTTGTATTTTGAAGCATACCCTTCTTTTTCTGTTTTCAAATTTTAAACCCTCGTACTTGTAATATTTTTGTAAGAAAAGAGAACAATCAAAATTTGGGGTTTTTTCTGACTTTCACAATGATTTACGTTTTTCTCTGAAAATTTCTGACCATTCCTGACCAATTTTCTAAAAACTCTAGAGGTAGTTCAGGAAGGATCTACGTGTCTACTCGGAAAAATATTCTTCTTCTGTTTTTTTTTTGCATAATCTAACCAAAAAGGGCCCCTTTTTAACGAAATTTTGCATGTTGCCAGGCCCAGCAATTTGCATTATACAAACATTTTTATTCAAATTTCAAAAAATTTGTTAGTTCCTTCTGCTTAGTTTTTTGGTCATTCTGACAAAAAAAGGTCCTTATTAACTGTCTCTAAAAATTGATGCTAGCCGTGTATGTCTCTTGATACTGTTTCTTTCTTTTTTCGATAATCTAGATATTCAAATAAATGAGTATCTTCAGTTGTCAGTTGATATGCTCTAAAAATTTTCCTGGTTGCGCGAGCGGTCTAGTCCGTCCCTGTGTAACTAATACTATTTAATCATTGCTTCAAGATTTTTCAAAAAGGGGTCACTTCATGGTAACTTTTAGCCTATCATGTTTGTTACACTGACAGACTGATGTCAACATGAGAGGAACAATCACATGAGACTGACAGAGAGTTAACCTAATAAAATAAAATGGTTTTTCAAGATTGGAAACATCTTTGGTTTGAGATACATCTCTTGTCATAATGAAGAAGCAGTACTCACCTCGTAATTTATGTATTGTTTCCTCCATTCTGGTGTAATATGAGCAGCTAAATGTTCTGCGAATTTCATATTTTTTTCAGCTACTTTTTCTTAACGCTGGTCGAAAACAGCATCTAAATGTTATTGATAGTAGATGCAGTCATTCCACTTCAATTAAATCACCTTCAAAAGGTGCCTATTATCTTCATAGAGATATCAAATATTTTGTTTCAACTGATCACTACGTTTGCACAACTAATAACGTACACACGTAAAATAAGAAAGATTATCCTTGTTTATACTTCAAATATTAGAGCTCATATCCATTATAATTGTGTGCACTGTATGGAAATTGTATATGCACAATAAATTAGTGTAGTTTAAAACGATAAGACAAAAAAGTGTCTACTAAAAATAAAAATGTTTCATTTGGAGCTGTCAACATTTGCAACCAGTCTTACGAAGTTGCAATACTGGTTACATATTCAAGGCCATAAATGGTATTAATTTCTGACGTACTATTATTTCTTAATGTTATTATAATTATCATTATATTGTAATAATTTATAGTACTACAATAGTGATGAGTCAAAAAGTTCTTGCTAAACAAAAATAAGGAATCCAATTTTTGTTAGACAAGGATGTTGAAGATATTGAAGAAGCAGTGCAGTAGCAGCTACTAGTGCAGTGCGGGTGTGGCAACAGTGTAAGATTTACGTAACCGGTTGAAGTTCTGTTGAGTGTTGAGTTAAGCTGCTCACATTTTTTAAAAAAGATTCAATTTTAGATCAAAACTGTAGAAAATGAGTGCTTGGAGAGCAGCAGGTCTCAAGTAAGTACAACTCACTAATATTCTCTTGCTTCCCCGCATCATATTAGAATAGGTTATGTTCGAAGCTCTATATCTCCTTATCAGCCTCTTATCGATTTTTTTGTATTCATGTTGATATTTTCTGGTACTCAGCTACATCAACTATTCCAATATTGCCGCTAAAATGTTGAGGCAAGCCTTAAAATCTGACATCAGGGCAGAGGCAATGAAGCGAGCTGATACCCACATTAAAGTCACAAAGTGGGAGAATGGAAAGCCCATCAGTAAGTACTACCTTTTCTTCCTTATAAATTATTGGTATCATTGCCAGCATTAACGTATTACGTTAATTGAAGGCCTAAAGAGTAGCACCCCTTTTTTTAAGTAGTATAGATATAATTACTTTTGGTCCTTGTATGTCCCAAAAATATGGCGAATACAACTATCAATTAGATACCTATTATCAGACAGAAAACTTCATTTAATAGAGAGAATATAATAGAGTTTAAAAAGATATTATCCTGCATCTCCTAAACTATTCCTTTTCTAAGATATACATATTTTGAATGTACCATATAAATCAATTATGGTTGAGGTCCGCCAAGTCTCAATGTGTACTGGAGAGAAGCATGCAGTATATATGTTAGAAAGAGTGCCTGTGATCTTCCTATCTATCATTGCCAGGTAAGATCATGATCACTTGTTCACACTTTTTCTAGAATGTGTGTTGCATTCTTCCCTCTCTTAGACATTGAAACCCAACTGATCTCAACCATAATTGATTCGCACAGTATACAGAAGCAATATTTGCTTATATATAAGCCAAAGATATCACATGTTACATAATATATATATATATATATATATATATATATATATATATATATATATAATTAGAGGTGTCAAATTAAATTGATATAAATTTTATACAAGTATTACAGAATTAGTTTGAAATTCAAGGCTTCCACAATATGAATAACTAAATAAATATTTGAATTAGAAAATAATTATGAAGCGTCAGCTTATACATTTTTGTCAGGTCCATAATTATTATATCAAGTGTATGAGGCCCTTGAATGGGTTAAACATTTATATTTTCTTTGTAATATGACCAAATATTAAAATCACATATTCATTGAGCTTTGATGTTACAGATGCTCGTGATTAAGTAAGTTATTGGTTTCTATTGTGATATTTGGTTTTGTGTACTTTATAACAATATATGTAGTTCACTGCAGTTTAAGTATACCCATCCTTACACAAAGACAACCAGGACAGCTGTGAACATATTTTCTAAACTCAACTTTTTGAAATTGCATCCTATGTTTGTGGTGCTTTGCTAAACATAACTGACATAACCTACCTCTTTGTGTGAATATCTGATGACTTTATTTATGTTCTGCTAACTGTTCCAATAACACTAACAATGTGTGTTACTATTGAAGATGTAATTTACTATATCAGCATACTAATACTTTGACTTTCTTTACAGAAGAATCAACCTGGTAACCTTCAATAGTATAAGTTTCAAATGATATAGCTTTATGGTCATAAAATGTGTCTGTGGTCAATAAATTGTTATTAATTTGTTCAAAATGTATTTTATTGATTTTAACCACCAGATTACAAAATATGTTTAGATCCTGCTATGACAGATGCTTTAGATTATCTATATTCAACCATATTATTGAATTATTACATTGGCCAAAACAAGATATATCCAGTTTTTCACAATAAATGTTGTTGAGGATCAGTCAGAATTTTAGGACCTTCTCCAATTTTTGTATGGATGATATATTTGAGACATCCTGGCTCTTGAACAGGGATGTTCAGTGCCATTTTTAAATCCTGAAAGCAAATGGATATAATTAAAACTTGGCTAAAACCTGGTAAAGATAAAGTGAATAATCGAATTAAAGATCTAAGGTCATAATGCAAATTAAGAGAAAGTAAACTTTCCACCCCACATTGACATTCCATAGCAGATTAATATTTCTTACCTGTGACAACTGATTGGATGACAGAGGCAAACCCTTATAATACTCTGCAGTATCTTGAGGTGGGAAAAGATAATTTATAACTGACATGAACTCGTCTACACTCGAATCTAATAAGTACAAGACTGCATTGGGGCCTGCATCATATGTATATGCCACCTGAAAAAGAGTTAAAATCAATTCTATAACAATATATTTTATATTTAATGTAAATTCTGTCAAATGAATGCATACAATGTTAAAGCTGCTTGATATATAGAAGTGACATATAAATCCGAACACCCAGTTTAAATGGTTTTATTTTAATAAAAGTTGGTGAATGTATTTATCTTACTGTAAATAACAAGTGAAAAAATTTTCAGCCTTATCAGTTGGACATTCCGGTTTTTATACTGCTTTTTTTTAATTCACTAACGTTCTAAAAATGAATATTTCAGCCGCAACGTTGGCGGATTTTGGATCTTGACATCCTTTACGATCGGTTACGATGCCTAGAGTGCGGAGACCTGTACGATTTCGTCAACTTAGTGAGTTTGATAGGGGCCGTATAGTGGGACTTCGGGAAGCTGGACTTTCTTTTCGGGCAATTGCAGTTAGAGTGCAAAGAAGTGTAGACACTGTGGTTAGGTGTTGTCAGGCATGACTTCGAGAAGGCCGTACGCAAAGAGCAAGGGGCACTGGACGCCGCCGTAGAACAACAGACCGTGAAGATCGCCGCCTAAGATTATTGGCCTTAAGGGACCGTTTCTCTACTACCAGGTCCATTGCAAATAAATGGTTTGCAGAACACGGAAGACCTATTGGCATGCGAAGTGTTTACCGACGAATGAGAAGTTTTGGCTTGTTTTCATACCGACCACACTGGGTCCTCCCTTTAACTCGAGAACACCGACGTAATCGCCTTGAGTGGTGCAGACAACGGTCACTCTGGGATCAGGAATGGAACAGTATTGTCTTTAGTAACGAGTCTCGATTTTGTTTAGGCATGCACGATGGTCGTGCCAGGGTTAGAAGGCGACGTGGTGAAAGGAGGAATCCACAGTTTTTTGTTGAAAGACATGTTCATCACACTGTTGGAGTTATGGTTTGGGGTGCTATAGCTTATGGTTCCAGGTCACCTTTAATCTTCATCAGAGGTAACATGAACGCGCAGCGTTATATCCACGAAGTTCTAGAACCCCGTCTTTTACCCTATATTGACACCCTGGCAGATCCAACTTTCCAACAAGATAATGCCCGACCACATGTTGCAAGAGTCACAATAGACTTCTTTCAACATAATGATGTCACATTGTTACCATGGCCACCAAGATCTCCCGACTTATCCCCAATTGAGCACGTGTGGGATATGATGGGTAGGAGATTGCTCAATTTGCAACGTCCTCCTCAGACTCTAGAAGCACTTCGAGAGGAGTTGGTGGTTGTCTGGAATGAGATACCACAGGAGGACATTGACCACCTGATCAGAAGCATGCCTAGGCGCGTTGGAGAATGCGTAGCACATCAGGGTGCATCCACACATTATTAAAGGTCAAAGGGCTTTAAAGCAGTGCAATCATTTTGAAATTTTTATCATTTACTTATTATGCTTCATTAAGTACTTATACAAAATTTTATTAAAATAAAACCATTTAAACTGGGTGTTCGGATTTATATGTCACTTAGTATATATGAACAGCAAAAGCGTATACATATTACGAATCCTAAAAAAGGTAAGTTTTTTCGACATTATTTAGGTTTTCCAACAAGATTTCAACTTGAAACTAGCTGTCGTTCAGTTCATCCTCACTTGTAGCAAGCGTGGAATGAGGTATTTGCATACTAGCCTACTTAATCAACAAGTTGACATTTTATAGGTTTTTCGCATTATATAGGTTTTTTACGTAATAACCCTGAGGGTCATTTTTTTATTTTATCAGAACGCTAATTTGACAACGTCCTGTTAGAGTAGTTGCTATGGAGGCGACGTTTCTATAAGGAATGCGATGACGATGTGGAGTAAGATTTTATGATATGCCGTTCTCCCCATTCACGGCGCTATATCACGTCTGATTTGATGCAAACTCAACCAAGAACTATTTATTCATGGATATACACTTGATATCCGAATTATTCGGGGAAATGTAGAGTATCAATTTTCATCCAGTTGAACGTCCAAAATTGGCCGCTCCGCTCTATTTGGAGCCGGCGGTACTATAGAAAAAGAGCACTTGAAAAAGTGGAGTGACGACGACCTTTACAGTACGCTTGATGCTCGACTTACGCTTTTGCTGTTCATATATACTAAGTGACATATAAATCCGAACACCCAGTTTAAATGGTTTTATTTTAATAAAATTTTGTATAAGTACTTAATGAAGCATAATAAGTAAATGATAAAAATTTCAAAATGATTGCACTGCTTTAAAGCCCTTTGACCTTTAATAATGTGTGGATGTACCCTGATGTGCTACGCATTCTCCAACGCGCCTAGGCATGCTTCTGATCAGGTGGTCAATGTCCTCCTGTGGTATCTCATTCCAGGCAACCACCAACTCCTCTCGAAGTGCTTCCAGAGTCTGAGGAGGACGTTGCAAATTGAGCAATCTCCTACCCATCATATCCCATACGTGCTCAATTGGGGATAAGTCGGGAGATCTTGGTGGCCATGGTAACAATGTGACATCATTATGTTGAAAGAAGTCTATTGTGACTCTTGCAACATGTGGTCGGGCATTATCTTGTTGGAAAGTTGGATCTGCCAGGGTGTCAAGATAGGGTAAAAGATGGGGTTCTAGAACTTCGTGGATATAACGCTGCGCGTTCATGTTACCTCTGATGAAGATTAAAGGTGACCTGGAACCATAAGCTATAGCACCCCAAACCATAACTCCAACAGTGTGATGAACATGTCTTTCAACAAAAAACTGTGGATTCCTTCTTTCAGCACGTCGTCTTCTAACCCTGGCACGACCATCGTGCATGCCTAAACAAAATCGAGACTCGTCACTAAAGACAATACTGTTCCATTCCTGATCCCAGAGTGAGCGTTGTCTGTACCACTCAAGGCGATTACGTCGGTGTTCTCGAGTTAAAGGGAGGACCCAGTGTGGCCGGTATGAAAACAAGCCAAAACTTCTCATTCGTCGGTAAACACTTCGCATGCCAATAGGTCTTCCGTGTTCTGCAAACCATTCATTTGCAATGGCCCTGGTAGTGGAGAAACGGTCCCTTAAGGCCAATAATCTTAGGCGGCGATCTTCACGGTCTGTTGTTCTACGGCGGCGTCCAGTGCCCCTTGCTCTTTTCGTACGGCCTTCTCGAAGCCATGCCTGACAACACCTAACCACAGTGTCTACACTTCTTTGCACTCTAACAGCAATTGCCCGAAAAGAAAGTCCAGCTTCCCGAAGTCCCACTATACGGCCCCTATCAAACTCACTAAGTTGACGAAATCGTACAGGTCTCCGTACTCTAGGCATCGTAACCGATCGTAAAGGATGTCAAGAACCAAGATCCGCCAACGTTGATTCTTTACTGCGGCTGAAATATTTATTTTTAGAGCGTTAGTGAATTAAAAAAAAAAGCAGTATAAAAACCGGAATGTCCAACTGATAAGGCTGAAAATTTTTTCACTTGTTATTTACAGTAAGATAAATACATTCACCAACTTTTATCAAAATAAAACCATTTAAACTGGGTGTTCGGATTTATATGTCACTTAGTATAATTTGCGCTATAGGAATGTCACTTTTTTACTCTGTAAATTGACGCTAAGAATGCGGTGTGTCTGACGTTCGTACATAACATATGCCTACGGCACTATATTTGCTATATTTATCAAAGAGTAATTGGATGACTAAAAGTTGTTAAACATTAAACAAACCTTGATGGATATAAAATGTGGGATAAATTACAACCTCAACATGGTACGGGCGTAATTGTTTACCTTCTTTTCAAAACGTTGAAAGTTCAATTATTTACCGAAAAAACAGTGGAAGGCAAACACGGCTAATTACATCATAACTCTTTTCTCGTCGTTTACTTAACAATTAAAGTGTTTTATATATAGATCTAATTACTTGGCTAAATATAATTAGGCATATGCCTGCTTGTTTGCTACACGCGGTAAATTTTGAGAAGCTGCATCTTCAGTTTTTTTATACTCCACCTAAACACCCATGGGGTACCGTGGGGCTATAGGAAAATACAAGGGTAAAGAGGGGGACGCCACAGGGACTCTAGCGAGGGAACACGTGTGCATGCACACATTCTGGCTCCGCCTACGATATCCGTCGGGTGGTACCTCCGCGTACGACAGTCAGAAACCGTCTATCACTTTCAGTTAATGGAGGAAAACACATTTTCCGAAACTAGTAGAAACTTGACTGCGTTGAGCTAGCTAGCAAGTATTTCATATAGTTCTGGACGGATCTTTCATAACGTCATAGAAATAAGGCACGTGGACAAAATTGCATGGGGTAATGAGAAAAGCGAGAAGTAGATGCTGCTGGTAAGATTGGTCATGTCTAAGGTTATACAAAGTTTGACAGAATTGTCAGATTGAAATTAATTTTTTTCCTAACCTCACATACACTTCAAACTCGTCTTAATCTGCCAAATCCTACGAATTCAGACTAGGTAGTAGAAGTCAAGGATTTGTTTGTCTGCTTATTCTCATAGTCTGCAGTGAGGATCATAGTGCACTTGTCAGTGTAGTCATTTTTTGATTGCTCTGTCATTAAATTTGTAGTTTTAGTATTATTTTTTAAAAGTACTAGTTTTCGCAGATAATTGTGATGTTAGACGATTTCAAAATGCGCTACTTCTTAGATTATTTGCAAGGAGCGGCACAAGCCTAATGAAGATAGATGTTTCCACCAGAAAGTATAATTATGTTGATACAACGCTGCCACTTTGGCAGGCAAATGAGTAAGAATTATTCACAAAAACTACGCAATTTTGTCGACAAACAATGCAATGTAAACATATAGGCCTTCTAGTCTATTCGAATTCGTTGGTTAAATATGTATTTTCCCCATCTACTTTTGAAAGTTTGATCTTCAACCACTCTAGCGCTGCATAGTGGGAGCAAAAGAGCCACATCAATGCGATAAAGAAACAACAAGATCCTGATATTAGAATTTGAAAATGAAGCATGAAAAATCAAAACACCATCTATAATGAAACTAACATGGAAACCAGGTATTGATTTGAAAATTAAAAGAAACACTTGAAATGTCGGAACCAATTTGCTGAGATGTCACCCTTCAAATATAAATCACCATTAGTTAACCAGAGGGTCAATTTTAGAAAACGGGGGTGTTGAACAACTATGATAGTAGGCGTGCTCCTGTTACTTTTCTGGGATTTATATTATTTAACATGATAGCTTCCTGGATAATTCTCAGGAGAAAAATTGCGGAAGTCTCATCGTCGTTCATCAGTTTCATCTCTAAATACGAGTTTGGGGGAGACACTGTCATATACATTAAACTTACAACACCCTTCTACGCCGAAGGTTTAAAATAGGTGTTTCTATAGAAATTAGAGAATACTCACTTTGTTTGACGATTTGAATTCATTATAAGCGTGAACGGCATTAGCAACAGTATGGGATGTGTCATTCAAATAAACACAAGGCGGATATGTGTCTTGACATATTGCATGGATGCTATTGGATTCCTTCATAGTGATCTCAGCAAAGATTTCAAAGTCTTTTTTCTGAATAGCTTCTATGCATGCTGGAAAATAAATAGAAATATTATTGGTTTCACAAAACTGTGAGATTGATCATCAGAACATACAAAACGTAAGCAATTTATCTGCTTTTTTTAGGCAAAAATCTTTGGATTTATTAAAACCTTCAGAGGCATATGTGTACATTACCTTTGGTCATTTTTGGAACTATTTGGTTTGCTCTGTATTTAAGAAGTTCACTGGTTTCGACACTTCTCTTCATTGCATCAGTAGAACTGTACTTTTTCCTTTCATCATTCACTACTAATATTAATACTCTCATTTCTGGCCAATGAGAAGCTGGCGCAATTTGCTTTGCGATCGAGTCCCTACCATCAGGAGATGATCCTTTACACCAAAGAACCTATAATATTAAAAAAATATTTATAAAATACAGGATGTTTCCTAAACATGAGGAAAATTGTAGAGGTGACTCTAGTCTATTTTAGGTCCACGTTGTAATATTTATATGACAATTTAAAAACGCTTCGTTTTGAACAATACGTGGCAAGCAAAATTTTCGCAGAATATTTTGTGCTCGGTAAGAGCTACAAGATAACTAGCGTACCTATAGCTGGAGCGCGAGACTACAATTTCCTCGACATATACTAAACTTCTTTCAAATACGTCAAGCATTTTTTGAGTTACATCCAGCAGCTTCTTGGTGGTTGATAGTACGTGTTTAACTGCTTAACAGGAACATACAATCGTTGGATACGTCAAGAAGGACCTGGCTCAATGGTCTGCTCGATCTCCGAACTATGGGGTCGTCGAAAGTTATTAGTTTACACAACAGCAGTCGATAATCGGATAATTGCTGGATCTTACTCAGAGAGCAACAGCCCTGGTGTATTAAAACTTCAACGGACTATGGTGACAAGTGGATACCTGGAGGAAGTTTTTTCTACACGAAAGCAGCCGCGCAGGCAGAAGCCTAAATGCCAGGCCACCGCGGCTGCTATGAGGATCCCAATGCGATTTTTGTACCGTCTAAGGCTAGTAGAACTGGAAAAACCTCCTCTTGTAGAATTTTCCACAATCTCGACACCCTAGGGACAAAGGAGCGATCGTGTCGGCCAGTTCTGGATGTACGAAGTTCGACACGGTTAGTATGGGAGGAGGAAGTCAGGTAGGTCTATCTAGCATGCACATCGCGCGGCGGCATCATGTAGTAGAACTCTGAGGAGTTAAGCCCATTGATGTAGCGGTAGAAGAGAGCTAGCACGCCGCTGGCCCGCCGGTGCGAAAAGGTCCCGAGACTCCGGTTAGACAAGAGTCATCGATCAGTCGGACAGCCCTCTTCTGAACAGCATCGAGCATGGATAATGTAGTTGGGGGGGCAGTACCCCAAACGAGTGAGAAATACTCGAGGCCGTCATGTGAAGAAACGTACTTCTTAGCCCTAAACAATTAGCCTAGCTTTTCCCCAGCAGCGGCCGCTACTGACTAGATGTGTTCGTGTCAGATCAAGTCCGTGGTGATCTGGACTCCGACTAGCCGAAATGAACGCCTCTTTGGTAAAACTCAGTCATCCATCGGAACCGGATTAGCGCTAGGGCACTGCTTTATCAAGGTACAGTCACTTTTTTTCGTCAAGGTACAGTACTGTGTTCTGGAGGCACTAAACTGTACAAAATTGTTGCGTCCCCAAGCAGTGATAAACTCCAGGTGTCTCGTCATAGAGGAAGCCGCTGCTGGTCCTGCATGTAAAGTGCTGTCATCAGCAAAGTTGTGGATTGGATTAATCGTAAAGGAAAGGAGGTCGTTGAGATGTATGAGGTACATTGTGGGAGCTAAGACCGATCCCTGAAGAACACCCGCGTTGACATTGTGGGATAAAGAGGAGAACCCGTTAAGATTACGGCGGAAGTTTGCATAACAGGACAGCATGCCACAGCTAATCGAACGCTCTCGTGATATCAGAAGCAACGACATGAGCTCACCATAAGACTGGATGGGTTTACCCCAAAATTGCGAGACGTAAACTAGGAGGTCCTCTGTGGATCGCTGATGGTGTATGAAACCGTACTGCTTGAAGCTAATCAAGCCGTGACATTCGAGGTACCTACTCCAAAAGCCCGCGATTCATGCACCTCTCCATCACTTTACTTATAACAGAAAGCAGAGCGACTGCACTGTTAAATATAACTGACGACATCTTCAAAGCAACAGATTCCGGAAAAACCACCTTTCTCGTGCTCTTGGACTACTCGTACTCCACGGCATTTGATAAACTATATCACGAAATGCTGTTTGGTGTTTTACACTATATAGGGTTTTCCGAATCTGCCAGCACGCTTATGTGCCACTATTTAACTAACAGAACACAATATGTAGAAACAGATAAAGGTACGAGTATGTCCTCCAAAGATGTCATCCCACCGGGTGTTCCACAAGGCTCCATTATAGGACTTCTGATTTTTGGTATTTATACATAAACCTTTCCCAATGTCTCCGAAGTTGTCAGGTACATTTGTATGCTGACGATACTCAGCTTTATTTTTCTTCCAATCCTAACGAGAAACGTGAAGCATTGGCAATTATTAATCAAGATATTGAAAGATTAGTTGTATTTTCGGAAAATCATGGTCTACAGATTAATGCAAGCGAATCACAACTCATGTTATTTGGCAGATTGAAAGACAATATTGAGCCCACTTTTCATGTCAAAATAAAAAGTGAATCTATACCTTGTTCTGCCGCTGTGAGAAATTTGGGAATACAATTTGACTCATATCTAAGATTTAAGCCTCATATTAATAAATGTATCCAGAAAGCTTATGCTTCTCTAAAAGTTAAACTTAAAATATTGCTCTGTAAAGTACTAGTACTCAGCCATTTTAATTTTTTGTAACAGCGTTTATGGGTTTTGTTTAGACAAGATTGACATGGATAGAATTGAACGTATACAGAAGTCCTGCCTACGATTTATTTATGGTATACGTAAGTAGGAGTTTTACATAAGTTGCTTGGTGCAAACTGGTTGAATATGCGGGGTCGATGTGAGTTGCATGCATGTAATCTTTTTCACAAAATTATGTTTTTTAAGCAACCAGCATATTTATTCAATAGAATAACTTTTCGCATCGATGTACATAACTTAAATTTGCTGTTTCAGGGCTACATATCACCTCCTCCTCATCAAACTTCTCTTTTTTGTAGATCTTTCTCATACAACCTTTACCGGCTTAACAATCAAATTCCTAATGACTTTAAAATTCTGCATCCAAACCAGTTTAAAATCAAATATAAAAAATTTATTTTTGAAAAACACTTCAGCGCACATTAATGTAAATGAGGCACAAGCACCAAACTAATGAAAAAGAATTTTTTTGTACTATAACTCTATTATTCTAAATCTATTATTCGAGGCTTTCTAAGGTAGATATATATGTATATATGTGTATGTATGTTGTATGTGTGTGTATATGTACATATATGAATGTGTAATAGGTAAAGGGCTGAACTTGTATCATTTTTAAATGCCTTCAGCCCTTTTTTGTAACATATCTCATTTAAATGTATTTTGCTACTATTTTCATTTAACGGTATGTTGCAAATAAACATTATTATTATTATATAGGCCTGTAGTTGTAAGGGCCGGTCTTAGGTCTTTTTTTAGATAGGTTGGACATGAGCAAATCTCTAGTTTTCTGGGAAGGTGCCGGATTCGTAAGATATTTGGAAGAGACGCAAAAGAATCGGAGCAAACTCCGCTTCACACCTCTTCATTAAAACGGCAGGAATCAAGTCCGCACCAGAAGCTTTGTTGCTGTCGAGCGACAAGAGCACTCGTCTTTCGGTTTTATTCATGAATGTTACTTACCGCATAGTGTAGGGAACCCTTTGAAGCGACGGTATCTTAATGCCCATGGTGGAGTGGGCAGCAAAGATCTTGGCAAGCACTGCCGCCTTAGCCTTTGAGTCGGTTACAATCATTCCATCCTAGCACGAAAGTGCTGGAAGGCTACTATACAAGAAGTTCCTTTCAATCTGCTTGGCCAGCGTCCAGAAATACCGACTGCCATTGCGCTGCGACATTACCCTATGCCTAATTTTTATATCGTGCTGGTCGTTGGCATTGCGGTCTGATCCGTTATATGTGTTTCTGCACTCGACATCGGTTTCCGGCTTGTCGGTGCTTTACTGTGGGGTTTTGTAACACGGTTCTGTATGCCTTGATCTGCTGACGTGCAGTGTCGCACGATTTGTCGACCCAGCGTTTAGACCCTGGTTTGGGCACCTTTAATGTACGAGGGATGTATTCCTCCATCCCGACGTGGATAATTTCGGTTACCAATGAACAGACAGCCGACACGTCCGCGTCAGCAAAACAAACATCTCTCCTAGTCGCAAATTTCAAGGTTCCCTCGAGTCCACCCTCCACCCGAACATTCAGAGAATGGAGTGAGTTTACGTCTAGAATTCTTAGTACTCAATGGATCCATCATCATTCATTTTATTTTGAACAGTCTAGGTACAATAAGACGCTAATGAAAACTATTTTCCAAAATGTTGTTCGCCTTAGAAACGAAGCGATTTTTTAAAACCTCAAACGACAAAATAGTCTATGAATATTGCCCCAGATTTTGGAAACACCTTGTATAAAATACCTTATGATGAGTGTAATTTTTTCACTTGTGTACTGTAACAATGAAGGTCTTGTAGTTTTGCAAACTGTACCTTTTTGGAAACAGTTTTTTAACATATCCACCACCTCTCTTTTTATCATACAAATAGTTATCTATATGATAAAATAAAATACAAGACGTACCATGCAATAAAGTAAATTTTGCCAGATTAATCGTTTCGGTATATTGGCTTGGCAGAGTAATCCTAGCGTGACATAACAAACTTTTCGGTGCCATTTTTCAATATGGTGACATGAGCGACAAGGATAGGATGATAGTATTTAAATCTATATAGGTGCCAATTATCAAGACAATATGAGTAGAAGTAGACATACCCATCCACCATACATGCTCCTACAAGCACTCCCAGATCCCATCCTAGCTATGAAGGAAACATTATCTTCTATCTCGTACAGCTTGGCCAAAGCTGAAACTAGACAAGCATATCCGGCTGCCGATGATGCCAGACCTGCCGCTGTCGGGAAGTTGTTCTCAGATTTGATGGAAAACTTCCAGTTCAGATGAGGTAGGGATTTGCTAGCTAGGCGCTTTACTAAAAACAGAAGGTGTGTAGAACTAGCGGAGTTGGAAGAGTGTAAATACGAGTATACTATCGCTAACAATGGGACTTGACGCATAAGGGGAGATAATCGGACTTTTCACTTTTTGGAACCTCGCCCAGTTAGGCTTGTTGAGAGTAAGAGGACGTGCCCTTTTCCCCATTTTTTTTATGTTTACCTAGGTGCTTTTGAAACTGCTTTATTATATCGTTTTTTAATTTAAAAATCTCATTCGTATTAGAAGATACAATTTTGCTTACGTCAAATTAGGGGTCTTCGAAGCACGCATGAAACAATTTTTTGCGATAATTTTTGGTGGGAAATTCAATTTTTCAATCAATCATAACTCCGACACCTTATATCCCGAAAAAGAAAGCCTCGAAGGCCCATAGGGTATTACAAAGTTATTAAAAAACAAACTGTGGAAGATTTTAGTCGCATAGCTAATTAGCATTGCTAATTTTCCTTCCGTGCGTGTCTCTTAAGCATCATTACTAATTGCTTAATATTTTACAAAAACGCGCATTGTCATAATTGTAATTGTTATTCAAAATCAAGCGACATTTTTTAATGAGTTCACCAACCTTCCTGTAAACAGTTAGTTAATCTTTTGTTGTTGAAGCTTTGTTCTTTTCCGTTCAGCCAGAATGTGTTTTCTTGTAATTCCGGGCTCGCTATTATTGTTGTTTTTGCGCACATCTGAAAAGACAATAGTGAATAAAGGAATTACGCTGTTGCTTACGAATACTCACGAAGTCCATGGAAAGTGTGCCACTAAGCGAGTCATTGATCGGAATTATCAAGTTTTCGTCTGATTTTCCCCCTAGAATAAAAAATAAAACAAAGGTCAAACTCGCGTTGTTTGTTTGATACAAAGCATTAAAAAATGCATGAAACATTAATTCAGAACGGCAAACGTTTCCATTACAAGATATAGTCATACAATTTCGATTAATCATCTTAGGGTTTAAATAATGAGAACGGGTGAGCATTTTTGTTTTTAGGCATTTGAAGCCCATAGCGTTCGGACGGATTAGATAATACGTAAATACGTTAATCAATGATTCCAGTAATGTTAAGTGGGTATACGTTGCTAGACGCAATTTTATTACTCTACGAATTTGTATGGTACATGTTCATGATTTTTATGTTGAAATATGGCGAATTTCCAACAAAACTGAAGTGTTCTACCATAACTCCTGTCTCTAAAGTTAAGAATTCTGAGTTGTACACCAATATGCGGCCATTAAATGTTCTGCCAGATGTTGAAAAAGTTTTTGAAGAAATTATTTACGGACAGCTCATTGAATTTATTGAGCGAAATAACATTTTAACAAAATTTCAAGCTGGATTTAGGAAGAAACACAACACAAATGGTTTTAGAGGACTGGAGGAGATGTATGGACAATAGCAAACATACATTAACAGTGTTTTTGGACTTCAAAAGGGCGTTTGAGACTATTTATTACTTACAAAATTGCATCACTTCGGATTTAAAGGATCTGTATTCAAAATTCTACAAAACTATTCAATTGGCAGGAGTCAAAAACCCAAAATTGGATCCACATTATCAAGATCAAAAAATATTTCTGTTGGTATACCACAAGGTAGTAAACTAGGTCCACTACTATTTATTTTATATGGCATTTGTAATATTTTAGATTATTGTAAACTTTAGATATTTGAAGATGATTAATATACATATCAGATGAAAATATAGACACTGCTTTAAAAATGCTAAATTCTGACTTGGCAAAGATCGTAAATTGGTTAAATGTAAATAAACTAAAATTGAATACTTCTAAAACAAAATGTATGCTAATAGGGAAATACCTAAATGAAAATATTATCACAGTTAGGATAAATGGAGAAATAATTGAAAATGTTGAATCAATCAGATATTTAGGCATATATATTGATAGTAAACTGAAGTTTGAGGGTCACTATGAATACAATATTTCAAAAATTGCCAAAAAAACAAATTACTTTTATAGGGCTTCTCATAGTCTTAGTACCTATTCCAAGAAAATGGTTTATAATACAATTATTCTACCGCATTTACTATATTGTTCAACTGTCTTGTTCACTGCCAATGAAGCTATATTCTCAAAATTACAAGTCTTGCAAAATAAAGATATGAGAATAATATTGAATAAAAATAAGTACATCAAAATAAAATCTATGTTACAAGAATTGCAATGGTTGAATATAAAAAATTTCACATCATATTTGGTTCTTATTTTTATATTTAAAATAAAAAGTCATATTTTGCCAGAACATTTAGAACACTACATAGAATTGAATAATAATTACCACAATTATTATACAAGAGGAAATACAGATTTTCATTTACAAAATTGCAATAGTAATATAACTAGCAAATCAATATTTCAGAAAGGAATTTAATAAACTAAATAATGATATAAAGTCTACTTGTAATTTAAAGATATTTAAAAGAAAATTAAAGGAATATTTCATGGACAATGAATTCTTAGAAATGCAAATTTTGTTTTTTTTTCTAAATATGTGTATGTTATGTAATTCTTTAGTTTTTTAGAAGAATGTAATTGTAGCAATCATGCCTAAATTAATCTTAAACAAACAAACAAAGTCTGCCATAGATCGCGGATCTCGCAGGCTGGGCCAGAATGTGTGCATGTTGCATGCACACGTGTTCCTTCGCCACAGTCCGTGTGGCGTTCCCCCTTTCCCCTGTATCCCCCTATAGCCCGACGGTACCCAATGGGTGTTTAGGCTTTAGGCCGTGGTAGTTGGAGTATAAACAAAAAAGAAGAGCTTTGGAGAAACGTCTAGATGCACCAGTCACCACATTTGATTGCCCAAAGCCGCGTAACCTGCCAGAGCTGCATCCTTCATATACAGGGAAAAGCAAATTTGTCTGACGTCTTGAGTTCAATGTGTACGAGAGAGAAGCGCGAGCAGTATTTCAATTTTTTGCGACTTAGTGTTTTAATTTATTTTAGAGTCCTCTTTGATTTCCACCAATGATGATGAAGTCAACACATCCTCAGTTATTATTACATTTTGCGACGGAATTCAAATTATCACTGCCTGCGTGTACGCAGGTGGAAGCCATTTTGAAGCAGGTCGACACCCCCTATGAGCGCTTGATGGGTACTGACCAAAATCGCTCAACTATGATTATCGAGGTGGAAAGTTTGCCTTGGAATATACAAGATGCGGTGTTATACGAGGGATGTCTCTTAAGTTTTGCATATAGAAACATAGTAGGCCGCGCGGATCGAACGTCAGTATGGAATCTTAACCTCACTCTTTAGTAAACTTAAAAACAAAGTTTCACAACAATACGTGCAGTGTTCTCACTACAGTGAATTTTTAAGTGTCACCAAGTCATTAGAAAAATGGAACTCAACCGAGAACATTTTCGCGCCATAATTTATTACAACTTTCAGAGACAATAATTGTCGCAACAAGAATGCCTTGCTGAGTTACTGTCTGTTTTCGGCAACGAAGCGCCACATCAGTCGACAATTTCCCGTTGGTATGGTGAATTCAAACGTGGACGGGTGAGTCTTAGCGACGATCCCAGTGTAGGTGCACCAAAAACGGCAGTCACCCAGGAAAATGTCGATGCTGTGCGCAAACTCATCATTGAAGATAGACATGTGACATATCGCGAGATTGAGGAGTCCTTGAAGATCTCAAAGACCTCAATTCAAAAAAATTACATAAAGAATTAGGAGTAAGAAAATTAGTTTCTCGTTGGATACCCCACCTGTTGACTGAAGAGCAGAAAGCAGCCAGGGTTAATTGGTGTCAAAAAACGATTGACCGTTTCAATTCCGGAAACTCAAAAAATGTGTACAGCATTGTTAGTGGTGATGAATCGTGGATTTACTGGTATGAACCAGAAAATAAACGACAGTCGGCTGTTTGGGTGTTCCAAGGTGAAGAAAAGCCAACAAAAGTCATCTGTTCTCGAAGTGTTTCGAAAAAGGTGGTCGCAACATTTGTGTCAAAAGCGGGTCATATTGCAACAATTCCTCTTAATGAGCAAACAACTGTTACTGCGGATTGGTATACCACCATTTGTTTGCCAAAAGTCATCACCGAGCTTTGAAAAATCAACCCCGAAAGAAGAATCGTCCTCCACCAAGACAATGCAAGCTCGCACACAGCCCAAAAAACAAGGCAGTATTTAACGGAAGAAAACGTGGAATTATTGGACCATCCATATAGTCCCAATCTAAGTCCTAACGATTTCTTTACTTTCCCGATAATTAAAAACAGACTGCATGGTCAAAGGTTCCAGTCACTAGAAGAAGCAGTTGACGCATTCAAAAATACCGTTTTAAATCTGCCACCAAGCCAGTGGAATAAGTGCTTCGAAAATTAGTTCGATCGCATGCAGATGTGTATTAATCTTTGTGGAGAATACTTCGAAAAACAATATCTACCGTGTTGTTTTATTTCCATATGCAAAACTTAAAAGACATCCCTCATAAAACGAACCAATGAAGCAATGGTGCAGAATTTGTCGCGATCCTGACCTTTCATTCCGACCTAAAATGGAGCGCCGTTAGGACCGATCAGGAATCAATCCTAAACAGATTCGACACAATTCTCTACTAAACTCTAAAATGTGTACGCCCAAAATAAAATCATTTGGGCGTGAAGAATAAACTAACGCATAACGTATGTCCTAAAAGTTTTGGCACAAAATATTCATCGTTTTTTTTTAATGAAGAAATTTATTTAAACACTAACTAGTTATCATACATCACAACTCAATACTTAACTAAACTATACTATCGAATTATGTGAAGTAGCCCACTCTGCTCTACCAGACGCAACTTTTTTCAAATGTCTATCATAAGGTTCTGGACGGAATTCAGATAAATTTCTCTCAGTTTGTCGTAAATTCGCCGTCGTAATTGTTCTTCGTCTTGGTCTTCCCAGCCTCCATGATAAACCTTCCTAGACAGTAAAGCCGAAAAATCCTCTATTGGGCGAGCCTGCGGCAAGTTTGGAGGATTATCGTTGTATGTTGTGTTTGGTATCTCTTAAGTAATGGCATCATGCTAGGTCTGGCCAAAACATGATAATGGTCATTAGCATGATGTTCGTGGACAAACTGAGGCAATTTGGAAATTCAGTTATTAATATTGCTCTGACTATTCAAAGCTTCATCCCTCACGCTTCCCACAAAATGTTGGGATAAACCCCTGTAAGAAATTGCGCCAGACAAAGAATTTATCTGCAAACTTCGCTTTTTATTTGTATCTCACGTTGTCCGTATACATTCCGTCGTTTCCCTTCATTTCAGAATGACTCATAGTGAAATACTTACCGTCATCTAAAATAATGATTTTTCCATTAGGAAAGCGTACTTGCCTCTGTTGATGATAGCATTTTAGTATACGAAGGAGTGGCGCTTGAAAGTATTTGGATAACTTAAGTCTCTTTCGATATTAAAGACCATTCCTCCTCAATTTCAACGATATTATTCTCTTAGATCTGTATTGACGAGCCAGTCTCCTTGTTGATAATCCAACCTGATTTCATGCTCTTCTCACCAATCTCTCTGACTCTGTGCAGTAAATGCACGTGGTCTTCCACGTTTTGGGAGATTGAAACATATGGTATTCCCTGCTCGCACCCCGCTATTGTTCGATAAATGGTTCTGCGCGAAATGTTTTCATTCTGGAATATTCGACAGATTTCAGCTTTGGGTACCCGCCCAACCAACTTGTAGATATTTTTTCTTATTTCTAATTTATACGACATCTCAAAGAGAAAACTTCATAATAAATACATGTCAAATGACAGTAATGTAAGTAAACAAACTTTTGTTCCCAAAGGCGTGATATTATTTTGAGTTTGTTCAAGTTAAAGCCAATGAATTTTGTACCAAAACTTTTAGAACATACGTTATGTTGAATATGCATCTTAATTCACGGAACTGGTGTAACATATTCGCATATCGGCGGGATGTATGTGCGGTAGCGCCGTCTTGTTGAAACCACGTTTATTGATCAAAGCCATGAAATTCTTGCAGCTGAGGTACCAAAAACTCCAGAAGCAGTGCACAATAAAGATCACTAGTTACCGTCTGGGCTATGCCACGTTGGTTCTCAAAAAAGAACACACCGATAATTCCTGAAGCCTACTTGCACACCACACAGTTACTTCTGGGCTATGTGGGGGCGTTTCGTATTTTTGCCTTGGATTCTCTGGTGCTCAATAGCGACAATTTTGCTTATTAACTGCGCATGAAAGGTGAAAGTGCGCCTAGTCACTGAACAGGATGTTGTTAATTTAGTCGTTTGCAAAAACGGTTTATCATTGTTTCGACAAAGGAACGACGGTTAAATTCTTGCACTATTTGGATGTTGTAGGGATGAAGCTTTAAATCTCTCCTTAAAATGATATGAAAAGATAATTCACGCAATCCCACCACCTATGATGTTTTACGAACACGTCCACTTGTATTTTGAATTATAGCGTCGCGTACAGCTTTCTTCGACATTCTCAGGAGTAGTTACAGTCCTTAGACGACGACCACGGCGATTCACATTTAAAGCTAACAATGTTTCTCTAAACCTCTTCACCCACGATTTCACTAAATTTACTTGGTGCGTGCTCCACACGCCTAATATTGAAGTGAGCACAAAACCTTCATCTTGCAATTGTGTACGACAAATTGTTCTTGAAATATGCATCAATAATGAACGCACGGTACGCACCACACCAACGCTCTATTTTCACTAAATAATCCGCATCGATCTACTATCGAAGGACGCTACGTCGATCGCGCTAAGTTATACTGTTACCAATTTATTTGAGTTTAAAAAGGAAAATTTATTCCTGGGCACCTTGTATCTCTTGTCTCTTGTTTATAAACACTTCTCTCTTGTAAACATTGAACTCAAGCCTTCAGATAAATTTGGTTCTCAGTGTATAAAGAGAATGAGGAAGTTTCCTATTTTTCAAAAGGCACTCAAACTGATGGTCTAAGTAAAATGAAGTACAGCGCTGAAAATTTTTTTTGAATATCTTGAAAAATAACAAAGTTACGCTAGTCAGAAGTTTATTATTTAGAGAATCGTGTGGTGGGCCGGGCGAGTGAGTGATAACGTCACATGACGGAAGCTTATCAGCCCAGCACCACTGCAAGGAGATGCGCCCGCCGCGCCGCGCCACACACGCTTCCCCCTATTATTAACAGTGAGTAAAAAGTGGGTCAAACCTTCAACCTTCAAATATTTTATTGTACCTAGGTGTACAAATACTAGCATATCAGCTCCAGATAAACATTTTTTCTGTGTGCCAAGACAGGGAAGTATTAGAAAGAAGTGGTGCAAGGTTACGAATAGGGACGATAAAATGCCGCTGTCGGGAAAATCAACGTTGTTTTGCTGTGAATCCCATTTTGATGTAAACAGCTATTCAGCTAATTATTATTAGTCTTAGTCTGTATGAATCACATGATAAGGTAAAGAATCTAAATGGTTTAAAGGAGAACAGAAATAGATTTGATTATTGCTTTCATTTCGAGATAATATGAGTATTTGTATAGTGATCATCTTGTGGCTGTAGGGGGAACACTGTTCAAACCTTGTTTGAGCCGACGCGGCGATGCATAAGCGTCGGTCAAGTGTGGGCTTAATGTGTAATAAACTGAGATTTTAGATTACTGCCAATAGTAGATAATCTGGCATTTGTCCAGTACCACTTCACGAAAGTGCATGGTGGTACTTCGCTTCTTCTGTGCAGCCACATTAATAGCGCTACACCATGCTTACAGCCACCCTCTTGTGAAGCAAAACCACTGCATTCTTGCTTAATAACCTTTCCTCCTTTTCGTCGCATTCAAAACTGCAATGATATTGTTTGCTTTTAACTCTATGTTCGGGCGTAATCCTGGCTTTTAAAATACAGATATCCCGTTCTCTTTTCAACAGCACATAGCCAATCGCCTCGTCTCCATAGGTGTCTCTTACAGATCTATAATGACAACAGCCAAATAACAATACCCAAAAATGAATGACGAATCATTAATTCTACTCCTGGTTAATAAATGGATATCGTGAAGTGTTACTAAAGAATTATTAAAATGCTGTGAAGTAATGATATCAAGATGTGTGTCAGTTTGAAAATGTTCAAAGGGAAATTGGAAAAATATCTCATGGAAAACCAGAATTCATAGTAGTGAAATTTTGTATAAAAATATGTAGGTCTTGAAGACATAATATATTTTGTTATATACTGTGAAATATGGATATTATGGATATTGAAGCATTAATTCTAAATAAATCTGAAACAAAGAAACAAACAAACACCGGACGGCCATCAAGTCCTATTGGTGTTGGAATAAATTTCAGTTCAAACAGTTGATTTTCTGGTTACTGCGCGATATTGAATTTATTATTAATTTATCAAGCGTATTCGCTGGAGTTTGGGTCATCCTAAATTATTTGATGCATGCAAAGCATGTTTTCATTTTCTTCTATTTATAAAATTAATAAAGCCAAATAATATCATCCATAATACCCGGCCACTGACACCACGCGTTCTACATAAAGTTGATGAGTCAAAACACTTTTATAAGTCCACAGTATGGTATAGTCGCAGGCAAATGGTTGAAAAAATGGGTTCACGTTATCAGAGTTGTATGGAATAAATCATACTATTTACTTACTTACGTATTTTCGTACTGACATAAAGTGGATTGTTTGTGAAGAAACTCATTACCATTATTATGTCCACCTTCAAAAGATATGTGGAATCGGCACGTAAAAAACCTTTTTCCATTTTAATTATTATATACTACCAAGATTCAAACAATAAATTACGTCTTGTCAGCTTGAGCGTTAAGGATGTATGCGTTATGCCGTCGTGTCGTCCGACCGCTTCACTACGACGTGCGACGTTCCGTCATGTGACGTCACTACCGATCCTCGACGCGCGAGGCCGATCGGCTACAGCAGCCAACACAGAAAATGCCATACCTTCCTTAAATTTAAAGTTATTGGAATAATTATTTCAGATTTGTCAAAGATACTAGTTATATTATCAGATGCAAGTAACACAGGCAGTATTTTCCACTATAGGAAACTTCCTAATTTTATGTTATATGGGATCGCGAACTAACATTAAAATCATACTTACAGTATTTGATCACAGCTATATTGACTGGAGCAATACAGGTGACTACCTTTACCTTACTCGAATCCATGAGTCCAGCAATACCCTACAGAAACAAGATAACGTTACACCAATGCTCAATGGAAAGCGACAACGTGTATGTTTTCACCTTCTCCCTTCGTCCAAATACACTCGTGTACGTTCACCTAAAAATTCCAATTTCAGAATAACACTATCAATAAATGTATATAGATGCATCAAACCGGTTTTTATGCAAGCGAATTCGATACAATTAATAGAATTTACACACCTACAAGTCGTCCTACTCACAATACACAGTTCACTACCTTTTCATATGTAAAACTAAAAGCGGAAACGACAGACGTTTGCGGCCGCTCTTCAACAAATTCCAAACGGTATTAACGGTGTTGTGAGTACTACTTTGGACGTACAAGTATGAATTCTATACAGGATGTTAGAAAACGCTAACGAAAAAATTTTAGGGCAGATTCAGCAAGTCAATATGTATTAAAATGGCTCGGGAAAATACCCGGTCCTTGATACGGGTTGTTTAAACTTTTTGTTTGGCGAAAAATTATACACCACCGGTTTTTGTAGGAATTAGTGTCGTTTTCCCAAAGCTATATTGATTCTGCTTGAAAAATGTCTCTTGTAGTTTATCGTTACGTTCGTTGAAAAATTCCTAGATGAAACTTTCCAGGCCAAACGACCAGCAAGTATTGTGATCGCGCAAAATTACGATAATAAGGTTTTGTTTTTTCGATGTTAAATGACGTACATAACGAAAAAACATGTCACTCCTTTCCGTCGGCCTGTGTTTCTTACTCAGAAAATAGTGGTCGAATTTTGATGAGAGTTTGACACAAAGTTACTAGGATGCAAAAAACGAAAAAGCTTTGTACATCTTGAAAATTGATCCAGTGGCAACAGAGCTACGAAAAAAAAACTTCGACGAGACATGCTAATTTTCAGATATCTTTTTTTTGAAAAAAATTAAGAGCTGGGAGTTGTAGGGGGTGAGTAAGGGTATATTCCAGTTTCTTAACGTTAGTATATTCATAAGCTTCTAGCCCTGTAAATACTGACGGATCACAGTAAACAATAATCGTGTGACATTTATCTAGAGTTATAGAAATACCTATGTTGAAGGGTGGGGACTATTTGGCTGATTTGATCCATTAAATTCCTTTGTTATACATGTTCAAAGTTCACTTATTTCTAAGACTTATTTCTAAGAAAGGCTAACTCGTGCTAAACTTGATCTTTTATGAACTGATGACAGTGTTGCATGGGTAAAGTCAAGGTCCACCTATAGGACGCCATTTTTGTAATAGCGATAATGAAATAATTTTTATTTTGAAGAGATATAAGAAGAATGATTCTAGCTTTGAGATATTGTTACTTTTTTTACAAAAATTGGCGGGTACTGCTTTTTGGTTAAGCATTGACACTTTCCGACAATTTGATGTAAAAGAGAGATAAAACTCATCTCATTCTGCTCCTGACAAATTTAAGGTTATTTGTGAATGATGGATAAGTTTAAGGGTCTATTATAAATGTAATTACACAATGTTAGGAGACACAATATTGTGATATACTGTATAGTCATTTCAACTTGGAAATCCTGTTGGACATTAAAATTTGCTTATCTAGCATGGAATTTGTTTAGAATTTTTAGGAACCCCCTTTAAAATTTACTACCCCTTGCTCTTCAAATTTTAGGTACCTACTCTTTCAGAAAACGTTATATCTGGCCTGAGAAAAATCCCTGCAGGTGCCCATGTCTAACTCTGAAATATATTTTAGTATGTAACAAATTGCCTAATGTATTAACAAATAGCAATATGGCTAAATGCGACAGCTACGTATAAAACTGATTCACATGCATTGATATATGTGAGTCGGTTCAATATCTTTTTCTTGCGAAACTGCGCTTACCTCGATATACGTTTTCCCCGTTACCGTCTAGATCTTTAAGTGCAAGGTTTTTGATAGTGTAGTCCTTCAGTTGGTGCAGGTATGCTTTTGGTCTTTTCCGCTGGAAATATGAATTACGACTGCTTCAAAATTACAAATAGGATTGTTCACGGGAATACGTGCTTGAATATGTGTTAGAGGCCATGTAGGACAACAAAACGTGGTATGTTTATCACTTAATATAAAGTATAATCTAACCTAGGAATGGACTTCGGGCAGTGGGTGCAGTCGGTGCAACGTTGCCGGATCTAATTTGACCTCTGGCCATAGACATTGGAATTATAAAGTATTTATAAATAATTATACTATACAATGCTTAGTATTTAAGTCACGAGCAGCGTATGTTGGAACAATAATTTAATCTGTAACAATACACCATAACCGTTTTTCAAATGGCTCTTTTAACCCTTTGTTTTTAGTGGTTTCACTGTGAAACCAGCTACATATAAATTTCTTGCTACCTTCCTAGCGCCATATGATTGAAACCACTTACAGTATATGACGTATAAGGCTCCCCCACCTTGAAATTTATTGCGCTCCGCCATTTGCATTCGCGTTCCTCATGTTTGTATTAGTCGGTCATAGAACGTGTTTTGAACTGGGTTAGTGGTGTAGGCAATTTTGGTGGTTTTTAGATCATTTCGCTATGGCAGGTAAGTTTATTCTTTCATTTAAAATGTTAAAAGTTATCAACTTACAATACTTATCGAAGATACAAAATGCCGGTTTCACCGTGAAACCACTAGGAAATTACGTATGTTTTTTTTCAGGAAAAGAAGTGTATACATTCAGAGAGCTGGAGAATATGTCGTCGAATGATTTATACGCATTATTAGAGAGCATTCCTTCGGATGGCGAGTCAGATGAACCGAGTAGTGATGAAGATGATTTGCTTGACATTCCGACTATGCCAATAATATTTGAAGACGACCAACCTGCAAGAGTCGACAATTCTGAGAATATATTCTTGGTGATGAAGCCTTCTCAGACGAGGAAGACAATATTCCTCTTTCTATTTTGAGGGATAGAGAACTAGCGAAAAGGACAACAAGGACCAAATTAACGGCATTTTGCGTTACTAATATCAAGCAGTTCACTGAGGAAACTGGACCTAAAATTTCAGACGATCTGGAGAAGCCAGTAGATTTTTTTAATACTTGTTTTCCTAAACTCTAATTGATAAAATTGTTTTTGAAACAAACCTCTACGCTCTTCAGACACGTGGAGGAGACTCTTCATTTACCCCAACTTCTGCGAAAGAGATTGAAATTTTCATTGCAATCAATATATTGATGGGAATCAAAAGGTTGCCCAGTTATGTCATCTAGAGAGGAATTACGAGATCACTATATAAGTTCAGCAATGTCTAGAGATCGGTTTGCTTGGCATCTCGGAAATGTGCATTTAGCAGATAACTCAGTGATGCCTGGTCGCGACTCGCCAAATTATGTCAAGTTGTATAAAGTTCGCCCTTTATTGGAGACTATCTGAAACCTTTCGTTCTTCATATGGCCCTTTAAAACATCAATCCATCGACGAATCTATGATTCGATTCAAGGGTCGCAGTTTTCTAAAGCAGTTAATGCCCCTCAAGCCCATCAAGCGAGGTTATAAAGTCTGAGTTCGATCCGATGAGAATGGATATGTCTGCCAATTTCAAATATATATTGGAAAAACTAATAAAAATATAAATAAAAATAAAAATAGTGCATTTTCTCGGAAATCATCAAACCCCTTCAGAAGAAGCAACTGTTTCCCGCAAGCAAAAGGACGGAAATTCACAAGTCGTAGCCTGCCCAACGATGGTCAAGGAATATAACCAGCATATGGGCTACGTTGACAAAACCGATATGCTCAAATCTGTGTGTATGAGATAGACCGCAAATCTAGGAAACGGTGGCATTGAATTTTGTGGCATTTCATAGATATAAGTGTTGTGAATTATTTCATTCTCTTCAAACAAAAAGCGAATTGCCGGCTCCAAACCTGAAATTTTTCAAGTTATCTGTAGCTTCAGGGTTAATCGGCGCCAGAGGTGATAAAACTTCACGGAGTAAGGTTACAGCAAAACATTTCAAGAAAATTGTGCCTTATGAAAAACGCTTTGACCAATGTTTGCATATGCCACAACACGGGACATCCAGACGATGTGCCTTTTGTAGCCCTAGTAAGAATCCTCACAGAATCAGGTGGGAATGTGTGACTTGTAAGGTTGGATTGTGCGTTACGGAAAAAAACTGTTTTTCGTTGTATCATAAAAAGTAACCTAAGTTTTATAATGTTATTTAGTTATCAGGTTTTTATTGGCTTGCACTAGTTTCCTAGTGGTATCATGCCGAAACCCTCAGTCTAATAAAAAAATATATATAAAAAAATAAATGTTTTTCAGTTTTTTTGTCTTTTAGGAACCCAATAGAGTGAGATTATTTAATTTTTACCTCGATTTTTTGATGTAAAAGTTTTCAGGAAACAACGGGTTAAACACCTACCAACAGGTAGGAAAGAGTGTGAGTATACTGATCAAGAGAAAAGCCACAAAGGCCATGGGAAAGTTAAATGCTTCTGGACTTCAATATGTGAATTGTGAATTTATTTAACACAGTTTGGACACACATTATCCAATTAGAAAATCGAGAAGTAAAGTCAAATCTCTGCATATATGACATGTCCAGACTATAAATGATATGATTATAAAGAGATTACATCATATAAGTTTGGTCCTTTGGCGAATCCATAGAATTCAACGAATTTTTGCTTTTTTTATTCTCAAACTGTTTTAATAAAGCCTCAGAACTAATTGATCGGCTGGTGAACAATTTGCAGGAATGGCAAGTTGTATGCAGACTCTTCTTTTGAGTAATTGAAAACCTTCTTTGGGAAAGCTCTACAACTCGTTAACATAATATCATTTATATCTGAAACTTATTCTATAGTTTTCATGCTAATAACATATTTTTACTTCCTACGCCACTAGGCGAGGAAGTATTGTAATCACAGAATAAATCGAAAATGAGATATGATTTTTATATGTTATATGACACCTACTCACGAAAAAGTATTTGACTAATATCCGTCGGTCTGCCTGTCTGTCTGATAATCCTTACCCCGTCTATAACTTAGGAAGTTCCGCGTGGATGATATTGTCGGTCTAGCTACGGACAAAAACATGAATGAAGCGAAAAATGCTCAAACATCGTTTTTTGACGTTTTAGAGGCTCCTAATCATTTTCAGGAAAAAATATTTGTTGAAATTCGGGGCTTGGGCAGGGTAAATGATGTTAGTATACTTATACGCTCCCTACCGCGGTCATTTCATGCACCTATTATCCGTGCATTTGTCTTTAAAACGTGAATGATAGAGAAATGTTTTCAGCCCGCGTTCTACGGCTATCTAAGCTCACCGCCTGGCGTACGGGTCCGTCTGACAAAAAAATACACATGGATGAACGATAACTCACTGCAGCGGTGCCGCGGTGGGCGCTGCCACGCAGATGTGAGAAGTGACTACGTTCCCATATGTTCAGTAACTACCGGTAAGGCAGGGAAATAATGTATATGAATTAATTGTATGGACTTGTTTGACTGACTTGACATGTTTAATTTATGTGTTGTACATGTTCGTAACTGACTCTTCTCGAAGGATTTAAAGTGATGGCGACGTATCGTAGGAAGTGCAGAGTCAACCCACTTTACACCATTGTCGATTTTCACTGGTGGTCGAAACGCCAGTAAAGAGTAATTTCTATATATGTATGGTTTCGTTTGACCACAATATCATCTATCTGCTCTTACTGACGTTGCCTTCGGCCGACAATGATCTTATTGTTTAATAAATATGTCGCACTCCGTGAAAGTAATTATCTTTAAGAAAATAATTCTTTGGCCGTGGCTCCAGAAAACCATCTTACTAGTCCTTAAGACAATTCTTAGAGATAACGTAAGAATTTCGTCTTACGGATTTGATTATCGACTTTTTCGCCTGATTAATCACAACCGGACATATTTTGTCGGACAGCAGGAAAAGATTAGATTAATTAGGGAATTAAATTCTTTATTGTTTTTTTTTCTATAAAAATTTGTCGTATACTCGTAGTCAACAGCTTCCGACAAATTTAAGGGTGAAGGTACATAATAATAATAATAATAATCCGGCTTTATTTATACAAAGTATAAAAAGGCGAAATGTCGCTAAAAACCGTTTTTCAACTTAACCCATGTAATGATATTTTCGCTTATGATGGCTAAACTAAAAATTTAAGATTATAAAACTCTACTATCTTTCTAGTAGAGAATAAAATTTGCTACCAAAAGGTTCTGTCATGTATCAAAATAGTCGCGCGACATTCTTCGTACGCAAGAAACTTTCACCTGTTCAAGAGAATAATTTTTTTACTACTACGCGTATGTAGAATGTAAAAATTATTTGATGATTTGTGATGTTTTCATTATGAAGGTCAAGTGACTCACTTCCGCCTGTCTATTGGCGATGTTGTCACCGCGTAATTTCAGTAATCCATGCAGCGATTTCAAAGAAAGAGGAGATGCAGTAGATAATACTGGTTTATTATATCAGTCCGTTTCCATTAAAATCATGCAACGGCAAAATGGCCAATAGACAGACTAGTGGAAGTGAGTGACCTGCTTGTTTATAATGAAGACATCAGAAATTTTCGAAAAGATTACATTTTCTGCGCAGCAGTAAAATAATGAATTCACATTGAAATAGTATTCTTGATCATAGAGAGTTATCCCCCACGTGAAAACATCTATGCTGACACGTGGACAACGTACTATTTTGATACGATTTCTTATCTTCACTCGTTATACCTTAAGATCCATCAAGCTGTCGAAAAAACGTAAGAGATCTTTTTTGTATCAAATTCTCGACAAGAGAGACAGTTGTAGTCAACGACTTATGAAGTCGTTGGTTGTAGTCTTCATACACTTAGACTGTTAGTGTAGCAATTATAGGCCAACATACCAAATATCTAGTGTCCAACCGTACTTTCGGTTTTGCCAGAAAATCCACTGAAATGCAACCAAAACTGAAACTAAGTTCGTATGTTTTCTGGCGCCTTCGGGCAAATTTATAAAAAGTTGTCACAGTAACTAGCTACTATATAGTCTCTAAGAAATAGTTTTTGTTTTGGATCTTTGAATAACTCGTATAGAAAACATCACTATTTATTAGTTTAAGGATACCCAAATTATGGTTTAAAATATCATAATGACCAATAATATCCAGTTTCAGTCTAAACTATACTAAGTGACATATAAATCCGAACACCCAGTTTAAATGGTTTTATTTTGATAAAAGTTGGTGAATGTATTTATCTTACTGTAAATAACAAGTGAAAAAATGTTCAGCCTTATCAGTTGGACATTCCGGTTTTTATACTGCTTTTTTTTAATTCACTAACGCTCTAAAAATGAATATTTCAGAGCCGCAGTAAAGAATCAACGTTGGCGGATTTTGGTTCTTGACATCCTTTACGATCAGTTACGATGTCTAGAGTACGGAGACCTATACGATTTCGTCAACTTAGTGAGTTTGATAGGGGCCGTATAGTGCAGTTAGAGTGCAAAGAAGTGTAGACACTGTTGTTAGGTGTTGTCAGGCATGGCTTCTAGAAGGCCGTACGCAAAGAGCAAGGGGCACTGGACGCCGCCGTAGAACAACAGACCGTGAAGATCGCCGCCCAAGATTATTGGCCTTAAGGGACCGTATCTCCACTACCAGGTCCATTGCAAATGAATGGTTTGCAGAACACGGAAGACCTATTGGCATGCGAAGTGTTTACCGACGAATGAGAAGGTTTGGCTTGTTTTCATACCGGCCACACTGGGTCCTCCCTTTAACTCGAGAACACCGACGTAATCGCCTTGGGTGGTGCAGATAACGGTCACTCTGGGATCAGCAATGGAACAGTATTGTCTTTAGTGACGAGTCTCGATTTTGTTTAAGCTTGCACGATGGTCGTGCCAGGGTTAGAAGGCGACGTGGTGAAAGGAGGAATCCAGTTTTTTGTTGAAAGACATGTTCATCACACTGTTGGAGTTATGGTTTGGGGTGCTATAGCTTATGGTTCCAGGTCACCTTTAATCTTCATCAGAGGTAACATGAACGCGCAGCGTTATATCCACGAAGTTCTAGAACCCCATCTTTTACCCTATCTTGACACCCTGGCAGATCCAACTTTCCAACAAGATAATGCCCGACCACATGTTGCAAGAGTCACAGTAGACTTCTTTCAACATAATGATGTCACATGGTTACCATGGCCACCAAGATCTCCCGACTTATCCCCAATTGAGCACGTGTGGGATATGATGGGTAGGAGATTGCTCAATTTGCAACGTCCTCCTCGGACTCTAGAAGCACTTCGAGAGGAGTTGGTGGTTGCCTGGAATGAGATACCACAGGAGGACATTGACCACCTGATCAGAAGCATGCCTAGACGCGTTGGAGAATGCGTAGCACATCAGGGTGCATCCACACATTATTAAAGGTCAAAGGGCTTTAAAGCAGTGCAAACATTTTGAAATTTTTATCATTTACTTATTATGCTTCATTAAGTACTTATACAAAATTTTATTAAAATAAAACCATTTAAACTGGGTGTTCGGATTTATATGTCACTTAGTATATTTTTGTTTTTTTGTCTGTTTTCTCACAAAATATTGGAAACAAAAGATATTATTTATATTGAGTTTTAAGAGACAAATGTAGTACTGTTTTAGTTTCCCTTACCTAATTCTTGATAATATTTAATAAAGACTGATTATCACATTTTGCATAGTTTGTTTTTTTCTTTAATAATGAACTGCTATGTTACTAATATTAATTTATAAAAACTGAGTTTATTTTTGCTTGGAGGTACACTACTATCTTGCCTCCCAACCTCCTTTATCATACTCGGTTTCAGCAGAAACTAAAATTTGTCCGAGATTTCTTTTTTTTTCTATCATGATCCGATTATTTAAAAGTTAGAGTGTAGAGGTACAATATGGCACCATGGCTCTACCTAGCAACTCGTGTTCATTTAAAAGCTGCTAAAATATTTCCTCAAATTTTTCTTTCCTTGGTAGTATGTCTACCATGTGTCGTCTGCTAAAGACATTTATCCAGTGACGTCTTAGCTAGTTCGAGACGAATAATGGTTATTTGTATATCAAGAGCGCAAGGTGCTACTTTGCCGCTCGAGAACCAGATTTGTTCGGCAACATTTCGAGAGCGTCGCAAGTAGTTTGTGATCGAACTGCAAATAAGATTGTTTCTATAATCGCAGCAATTAATTTTTTTGTAAAATTGATGACTCATGAATATTATGACATCTCGCATTCTGGTCGGTTCAACCGCAACCAATAGCGATCGGTGGTGTTAATTTGTTGCTCTAGAGCGGCAGATCTGGCATTTGTGATTAGTCTTTGGAAAACGTTAACGTTTCCAATACAAGCAATCACAAGTACTTTTTTAGAGCCGTTGAGGCAGATCAATGTCCATGCTTCCATAACGGTACTGTATCTTGACTAACAACATCCAGTTTCGATGGATGGCCGAGTTCTGCCAAGAAGCCATTAGTTTCGGCTAAGTCGTGACAGTTCCTAGGAAAAAGATGGGTTATTTTGCTTAGGGCTAAGATGTACCTTTCTCCAGATAACCACTTCTCACTCTGTACAAGGCGACCCAGCCCAGTAATACTCAAGTGTTTGGGGTGTTCTTTATATTATTTTTACTTTCCTTCGCACCTCAGTCTAATTATTTCCATGGTTAGACTATTATTAAACGAATATAATGTGAATATGGAATGAATTATGTTGATTAGTTTATTTATTTTAGAATTATCCAATTTCGATTAGATAATTATTCCGCCGCCCCTGGGCAAACCCACGTGCTATTCTTCTTCGGTGTGGGAGTTCCCAAGAACACTTACCTATTTACATTTTACCTATTTAATGGAATTCCAATCCGACTAGTCAATCGCCCCGTAATTTGAGTACAGTTTGAGAACCTTTGGAATTTTTAAAGCAATCACAGTGAATACAGTCTGCGAATAGTAGGCTCACTCTACGATCAAAGAAGTGGTACTTTCTGCCTACGTCCGGCCTCCCGCTCACGAGGCAACCAAGAGATAGCCAAGGCTTGACGACTAGGTAGCATGAGTACCGACACAGAGAAGAGGTATGTGGGGTAACCTGAAATATTGCAATTTAACTTACCTATCTTCTAAATTGCACTTTGCACCCCTGAGAAATTATAGGCCGTGTAAGTGGGATTTCAAATTTCGAAAAAATTAACAGA